CCCTCAACCCTAAACCCTAAACCCTAAACCCTATGGTATGATGGCTTGAAACTGGGGGGGGGGGGGGGGGGCGGTCGGTGAAGAGCAGTCCTTGTCCTTTCGGCGCTTGGCATCCCTGATGTGCTCCTGGAGGTCTCATCCACACGGAGTTGCCCTAAACCCTAAACCCTAAACCCTAAACCCTAAACCCTCAACCGGAGCTGGAAGCTGCGAAAACATCGATGCGACCAAAGACAGCATGTCGAAGCTGGCGGCCAGAAAGAGAGATCGAAGCCTCTCAAGCCTGGTAATAAAAGGGGTCGGAATAACTACTACTAGTATTCCCTTGTGGCCCCTACAGAATTATACTAAAATACCACCCGCCCCCCCCGCCGCCATCCCCAAGACAGTATTCTAATTATAAAGGCTCCGATAGTAGCCGCAGGGAAATTCAAGCGACAGACAAGGGCCTATTGCTCGGCATAAGGCGGCATCAATAGCGGCGCGAGGAAAAAAACGACGACAGGGGGTGCACAGGATTCAGATACTTCCAGTTGACGCTGAGTTGCCCTGTGTCTGCACTACAAGCACATCTGAACACACTGCATTTCTTAGCTGCGAAAGTATGCATGCGACATTTCCGAGAGACAGTGTTTCTGATTTGAAGTAGCCCAAACAAGCCGTTGATGTGGAATGATAATCTGAGAAAGGACGGTTCCTGAGACAGCATTGCTATGGACGGCTATGAAAAAAACTTAAACCCCAGACCCTTATAAACTTCCCTAAACCCTAACCATAAAGGGTGTAGGGTTTGGGGTTTAGGGATAAGCCCACAAGGACGAAGTCCTTGGAGCCGTGCGACACCTCCCTGCAGCAAAGGAAGCCTCCACCTTCTTCAGCTTATTAGGGTTTAGGGTTTAGGGTTTAGGGTTTAGATGCTGCTGCACTGGCATTCACGCAGGGTTTAGGGTTTTGGGTTTCCCCCCCCCTCCTCCCCCTGCTATTCATGTCTGTGGTTCATGGTGGGTATATGGGTGGCTGTCAAAATTATGGTCCCTTTTGGGGTACCCTAAATATTAGGTGCCGGATCCAAAAAGGGACCATCATCTTGACAAACACCCATATGCTTGATGTCTTTCACACTGCCAGCTGTGGTTCATCGTGGTTGATGGAACTTTACCCCCCCCCCCCCCGGTGGTTTAAGGGATGTAGGGTTTTCGGCCCTAAACCCTAAACCCTAAACCGAAACGGTACTTGCTGACCCTAAACCCCAGGCTGCCGCCAGCAATCCGGCCGGAACCCTGAACCCTTTGGCAACAGCTTAGTTGCTGAGTTCATAAGCCCCAAAAAGGCTGTAAAAAGTGTGCACGCTCAGCTACTAAGACAGGGCTTGGGGTTTAGTGTTTAAGGACTGTTTGCAGGGTTTAGGGTTTAGGGTTGGGGAGGCTTCCGAAGCCCTAACCCGCCAGAAACGAACAATAAACACAACCAAAACAAGAAACAAGAAACGAGGGGGGTGGATTTAGAAGAACAAAAAAGCTAGAAAGCGGCTTTTGAGGGGTTGGAGGTTCGCGGGAACTGTCGGGCAGTGTACCGCCCAGACACGAAACCTCTTCTGGGTAAGTTGATGTTCTGGTTCTGTACGGTTTCTTACGGCGATGCTATCGGTATAATGTAGTTTTTACTGGGAAGCCCAGAACTCCCCAGCCTCTACGGTTCCGCACTCCAACAGCTTCAGCCAAACCCCTTACCTGGGTCCTGGGTTTGGAGCTTAAAATTGGGGTTTAGGGTTTAGGGCTCAGGGTTTAGGGTTCAAGGTTGCTGTAAAAAACTTGAATCAAGGTACCAGATCTGTGGAGCTTAAACTACGGGTTAAGCATTGCGGAACGAAAGCCCTAAACCCTAAACCCTAAACCCTAACCCCTAACCCCTAAACCCTAAACCCTAAAACGCCATGATGTGGATGCACAGTCCGCACCCTGGGTTCCGCATTGCGGTAGCTTTCGGCGAAGTTCCTAGTCAGCAACTGAGCAACCCCACATCTCAATCCAAGCCGAAGGGTTTAGGGTTTAGGGGTTTAGGGTTTAGGGTTTAGGGCTTAGGGTTTAGGGCTTAGGTTGAGCCTGTGAGGAGCCACTGCAGCAAAGACCAGGACTCGTCCTCCGAAAGTCGCGTGCTTTAGGTTGCTTTTCTTTTCAGATTTGCCGGGGCAGCCCTAAACCCTTTAAACCGTCTTGACCTACAGTGTTATAGGTTAAACCTAGTACCTACTCATTAGGGGAAGCGGCTACTACACTAAACCCTAAACCCTAAACCCTAAACCCTAATCCCTAAACCCTAAACCCTAAACCCTAGAAGACTCCGCCCTCAAGACCTCGCCAAGTCGGGAATTTTCCTATGGGACCCGATCGAAGGAAGCATGAACCATGAAGTCTTCATATTCTGCAAGACTGCCGGTTTAGGGTTTAGGGTTTAGGGCTTAGGGTTTAGTGTTTAGGGCTTAGGGTTTAGGGCTTAGGGTTTAGGCTGGCACCGGCTATGTAGAGACCAGGAAGATGACCACATCTACATTTGAACGCAAGTGTCCCGTCGGAAGGAGCTATATTATGGAAACACCGAGAGAAAGACAGAGAGAGAGGGAGACAAAGAGGCAACACCGGAGTGCGCACATGCCCCAATCTCAACTGCAGCAATGTAGACCCCTGGCCCCAAATTCTCTCAGCCGCCAGACAAAGACGGGCAATGTACGCAACTCTTGCCATGCAATGCACCTTGCAAACCTGCAAACCCTATGCACCCCAAACCCGTTGTCGTCCCTACCTTCATCGCTCCATCTAAGCCCGAGAAAACCTTAGCAGCCCAGCAACCATGTGAAAGTAAGGGCACCCTTTTTGGAATGGTTACTTGATAAGAGGACCCAGATCCAAAGAAAAACGGTAAAGGTACCAATGGGCTACCAAGACAGCCCTAAACCCTAAACCTTAGAAACCCTAAACCTTATAAACCACAAAGCCTAACCCTAAACCCTAAACCCTAAACCCTAAACCCTTAACCCTAAACTCTAGGACCCCACAGCGCAGCCCCTGAAAGCTCCCAGACCGCGAACCGGGGCGGGGCCTCTTTGCCTCGCTCGCGCCGCTCCTTGCGCCACTTGCGCCTGTGCTCTCCCTCTGCTTAGGGTTTAGGGTTTGGGGTCTAGGTTTAGGGTTTAGGGTTTAGGGTTTAGGGTTTAGGGTTTAGGGTTTAGGGTTTAGGGTTTAGGGTTTAGGGTTTAGGGTTTAGGGTTTAGGGTGTAGGGTTGAGGGTTGAGGGTTGAGGGTTGAGGGTTCAGGGTTCAGGGTTTAGGGTTTAGGGTTTGGAACCCTAGGGTTTCGGCTTGCAGGTGTGGCGTGGTTGTTTGGGGCCTAAACATAATTGGGGTCAGGGTTGGTGGGCTCTTGGGGCTTGCAGCTTTCAGCTTTCGACCTCAGCCGTATCCGCCTTGGTGTAAGGCCGAGACTCTAAGCCTAAACCCTAAACCCTAAACCCTAAATCCTAAATCCAAAATCCAAAACCGTGACAGGGCTTTCATGGTCTATCGAGCTTGAGGACCCCTCCTACCATGCCTAGGCGGAACTCGCTTTAGGGTCGAGGGTACACAGGGAACCTCCTTTTGGCAAACCCTAAACCCCAAACCCCCTTTTTGAACCCAGACTTTTTACGTCAGCTGTCTGAGAGTGACTGTAACTCGAGACTACCCTAAACCCTAGACCCTTTTTGCCGGAGGGCTCTCTTACGTGCCTAAACCCTAAACCCTATAAACGCTAAACCCTATAAACCCCAAACCCTATAAACCCTAAACCCTAAACCTTTCCATACGGCACCGGCCTCTTCTCGCGCTCCTCGCGCTCAGCGGTCTTGTAGGTTCTCCTCTCCCGCTGTGCCATGCGTCTGGGACATGGGGGGAGCCTGGGTTGGCTAGGATCCTGTTCTGGGTTTAGGGTTTAGGGTTTAGGGTTTAGGGTTTAGGGTTTAGGGTTTAGGGTTTAGGGCTTAGGGCTTAGGGCTTAGGGTTCTAGGATTTTGGGTTTACGGCTTCCCCCCCGGCCCCGATGGTAGTCTGAGGACTGTCTGTAGGGCCAGAGTTCGGTGAAGCTCTGGAGGGACTGTGTGCAGTTACAGAATCTTACCGGTGTTTGTGGTAGGGGTTCGTTCCAGAACCCTAAACCCTAAACCCTCAACCCTAAACCCTAAACCCTGGCCCATGTTGTTGCTTTGTCGAATTCCAAGGGCTTTGGCAAACTGATGAGCCGGCGCGCGAGAGGCAAGTCACGGCAGGGAAGGGTTCCCGAAATTCGAGGCCCAACTTGGGGTCCGAAATTATAGGGGAATTCTACTATTTGGGGGTTTAGGGTTTAGGGTTTAGGGTTTAGGGTTTAGGGTTTAGGGTTTAGGGTTTAGGGTTTAGGGTCTATTTTAGGGGTCCCCTATTTTCGTAAACCCCCATGTAGGTTGCCCGGTAACCTAGGATTAACAAGGGTGCCCTTTGTTGTTTTAAGGGGTTAATTTATGAGGGAACCTAAACCCCCCCCTCCCCCCGCAAGGGAATACGGGCACTACTGGGCATCCTAGCATTCTGATACTGTAGGACGCCTAGGGTCCATAAACCTGAAACCCTCAACCCTACAGAACAACGTCACATGTTTCCGGCTCGCATGTTAAGGGCACCCTTATGTGCGACCGTCCGAGCTCATAAGGCTGTTTAGGGTGCACAGGCCTAGGGGGTCCACTTTAAGGGTTAGGGTTTAGGGTTTAGGGTTGTCCAAAGGTGCAAGTTTCCTGCATGCTTAACCAGCATGCCGGCAGAGCTTACGTCACCGGTCGCCCTGTACAAGGATTCCGACTTTTGCTTAGTGCTTTCAGACGCATGGGGTGTAAGGGGTAGAGAAAGACCCTCACAACCCAAAACCCAAAACCCAAAACCCTAAACCCTAAACCCTAAACCCTCCCGAGAAGTTCATCCTCCAGACCGAGCGCAGCGCGGATGCCAGCGGCGCTGAGCCGACGGATGAGCTCCAGCTTTGTTGCCGTGTCGACGGCGACCTTGGCTTGAAGTTTGGGACGCCCTGGGGCTTAGCCTGGCTGTACTCGCCTACCACGAAACCTGAAACCTGCAGCCCCAAAGCCCACTGCCCGGACCCCTAAAACTCCAAAACCCTATAGCTGATAGAAGAGAAGCTGAGGCTATGGAGGCCAACACCACCCTGAAACCCCTGAAGCCCTGAAACCCTCCACCCGAACCCGACCCTTACTTGCTGCCTCTTCCCTGCTTTTTGTCTCCCGGCAAAAGAAGAACGCCAGGCTCAGGCGTGGCTGCCGCGGTGCTGGCCCGGGTCCTCCCTCCACCTCGTCTGAGAGGCCAAAAACACCAGGGGAAGCCGAGGTTGGTTCAGTTGGTTTAGGGTTGAGGGCTTAGGGAAAGAGCCGTTCATCATGGGGTCGGCAAGAATAACCACCCGAAAAAGAAGAAGCAAAGGGTGACGCTAAAGCTTAGCAACCGAATGAAAAGGACATCTGCGCGGTGCAACAACGAGTTTTACGAGGTCTCCTTGCATTTTGAATGGGGCTGTAAAGTAGAGGGGGTGAGGGGACGTACAAACCCCCCCACCCCCCGCCCCTAAAAGAAATTCCGACTTCGAGGCAACCCTCAGAAGAGGACTCCGCCGGCTAAGGGTTTAGGGCTTAGGGTTGAGGGTTCAGGGTTTCGGGTAGACCCTAAACCCTAAACCCTAAACCGCCTAAACCCTAAACCCCAAACCCTGAGAGCAACCGTAAACCCTAAACCCTTCAACCGGTTTTTGGAAAGGCCTAGGGACCGCAGGCCCCAGGTCAACCCTGAAACCCTTTTTTGCCCTTTAGCCCCAGACTCGAAGACCTCAACCCTGAACGGCGGGGTCCACGGGTTGGGGCTGAGGGTTCTACGAGGGTATAGGGTTTAGGGTTTAGGGTGTCGGGTGTAGGGTTTTGTACTTCAAACTTCAAACTGTGTCTCTGACGTGCCCATGGCCTGCCAGCTGCCACTCCGCAGCTCGAGAGTTTTTGCAGCTAAGTGCACCCTACCTGACTAACGCTTCCTGGGTAGTCAGAAGGTGTCGCCGAAAACCGTCACCAAGCAAAACCTAAACCCTAAACCCCTAAACCCTAAACCCTATAAACCCAAAATCCACGAAGCCTTTCGTAGCCGAGATGCCAAGTGCGGGGTCGGCCGCAGCTGTCGCGCGGCGGGCAACGCTTCCGCCAAGCGGCTTCCCACCAGAAGCGCACCACGAAGGTTCTGGAAACCACGTAAGGTTTGGGATTTGGGGCTAAGGGTCTTGGGTTTAGGGTTTAGGGTCAAGAAACCCTAAACCCTAAACCCTAAACCCTCAACCCTAGCCCCGAAACTCGAAACCTGAGAGCCGAGGGAGCCGAAACCCTGAGTTTCCTAAACCCTCAACCCTAAACCCTTTTGTGGCTTCTTCGCATGGGATTCCGAAGGCTCTGGTCGGCTTTGAAAGCGCCACGGGTTTAGGATCTGGGGTTTGGATCTGTTTGGGGTTTGGGGTTAGGGGGTTAGGGTTTAGGGTTTAGGGTTTAGGGTTTAGGGTTTAGGGTCTAGGGTATCGACTCGTTGGGGTTGAGGGTTGGGCTTCTCTCATGGGCGAATGTTGAGACCCGAAACCCTTGTCGAAAGTGGACTGAAACCTAAGGCCATCTAAAGCCTGAACCTTCTTCAACCACAAACTAAACTCCTGAACCCTAAACCCTAAACCCTAAACCCTAAACCCTAAACCCTAAACCCTAAACCCCAAAGCAAGCTTTGCTTTAGAGGGGGCGTGCGAGGCTTCGAGCACGGGAGCTGCCTCAGAAGTCCGGCTCATGGACTTGACCCCGGGCAGGATCCTCGAGTGCAAAAGGCAAAACAAAGCTTAGGTCTCAGACGCTTAGAAGATTCAGGGTTTAGGGTTTAGGGTTTTAGGGTTTTAGGGCTTAGGGTTTAGGGAAGTCTCAGAAAACTTGGGGTTTTTAGCACACTCGCACAAGACTGGCAAGGATTCAATGTCCATCGAAGAGATACACCACTCTGGGCCAAGGTGAACACTTCTCTGACTCCAGACGATCCCTGTTCAAGACGAGTAGATGACACATACTGCAAAGCCCAACATTAGGAGGTCAGTCACACGGTGATGATCTCGACCAGCAAGCTTTAAGGCATGGGAAGAGTACTGCTGCTCGGAGTCCAAGCTTTCGCTTGAGCCAAAAGGGCTTAAGGTTTTACTGGGCTTTATTTATAGGCTATAGGGTCTAATCGGGTTTTTGTGTTTTTGTAGGGTTCAGGGCTTTATAGGGTTCAGGGTTTAGAGTTTAGAGTGTTGTGTTTAGGGGTAAACCCTCCAGCCACTAAACTGCCAGAGCAGGGAAGCACTGTGGCCGCTTGTGGGGCGGGCTGCAAGACCCCTCCACCGGCAAAAAACCCAAACACAAACCTAAGCGAAACCCGAAAACGCTTGCAAAAGCAAAACTTGCCTCGAGAGAGGGAAACCTTTGGGTCTAAGCCCTAAACCCTAAACCCTCTTCGAATCCTTTTCGAACCCTGTAAGGAAAAAGTCCTGCGCCAGCGCGTCGCAGAAATCGGCCGGAGGGCATCCCCGCATCGGACAAGCAGCCGCCCGCCCCCAGAGGCCGGGACGAGCAGTAGCGTGAGGGCTGACAGGTCCTGTTGCGTTCAGGACTTAGGGCTTCGGGTTTAGGATCTAGGGATCTGCGGCGGGGCGTAGGGTCCGACCTCGCCAAAGTCTCACGACAGGAAGTCGCATAGTGAGGGTTGTTTGGCTACCCTAGTCCATAAATTGCAGGGGAGAGGGGGAGGGTGGTTGGGCGCAACTAAACAAACAGATATAAACAGATGAGCTTCGGCCTTCAAGGGTTGAGGACTTACGTACTTCCCATGGCGGCCAGTACGGGGCGGCATGTAACGTATTAGATAATCTAATTAAGCCCTTCTGCAGCAGGCCGCGGTCACTGGACTACTACCACCCGACTTCAGCCACCACTGTGGACCTGACGGCACGTGTGTACTTCGCATCTGAAGTTTGCAGAAAACGGGCCCTCAACCCTCTGAACTCTGAGTCTTTCAAGCCCTTCGTTCTGAAACCTCCCCGAGCCCTTCATCCATCGTAGCCCCTGAGCCCTGAACTCTTGCCCTTGTTGCCACCTGCTAAGCACGTCCGGTAGCCCTTCAACCCTATGTAAACCCTAAAACCTACACCCCTAAACCTCTCTCTCTCTCTCTCTACCCCTAAACCCTAACCATAAACCCTAAACCCCTGAACCCTCAACCGAAAAACCGAGACCCCTGAACCCTAACCCCTACAAACCCCTATAAAGCCTAAACCCCCCAAACCCTCGCAGACTTCAAAAGGCACCTTGTGCTCATAGAGCCGTGGCTGACCCCCGCGGCGGGCGTAGAAGTTTAGGAGCAGCTCGTGCGACCACGCCCCGTGCATGGGCCCGCCTGCGGGAGCTCTTTAAGGCTGAGGGTTTGGGGCGTTCCCCCCTATTAGTCCTTGCAAGGGAATATAATAGGGGTACTGAAATTTCCCTTTAAGGACTGCTAGTATAAGGGGCAATTATCCCAAATTAGGGTATAGGAAATCAAACCAAAAGACTGTGACGAAGTGGTCGGCAGCGGTTCGGGTCAGGTGCAGAGATTTTCGTGGGTTTTTGAAGTTCAGGCAAAGTTCAACAATAAGGTTCAATGGCCCTGCTAGCCCCTTTCCAATGGCGGGCTAGGGCTCGGCCGGACTCGAACGACAATCATACATGGGGCACTTCGACCAGAATCCCTACAACCATGGTGCCCTCAACCACAGACCCTGAACCCTAAGCCCTAAGCCCTAAACCCTAAACCCTAAACCCTAAACCCTAAGCCCTAAACCCTAAACCCTAAATCCGAAACCCTAAACCCTAAACCCTAAACCCGTCCTGCTCTGGCCCGCATGAGCCGAAGCAACTCAAGGGCTGCATGCTGGAGCCGCCCGCGGAGCCTTGCTTTTGGGGGGGTTTAGGGTTTAGGGTTTAGGGTTTAGGGTTTAGGATTTAGGGTTTAGGGTTTAGGAAGAGAGTTTAGGGTTTAGGCTTTAGGGCTTAGGATTTAGTGTGGAAACAGGGGATGTTGAGGAACCAGACGTTGAGGTTTGGGAAGCCAAAACTCCTGCGACCCTCAACTTCCAAGCCTGGAAGCCCTCGAAGTCACAGCATCGCAGAAGCCCAGCAAAGGCCCAAAAATCCCCATGGCTTAGGGTTTCCTGGGGTTCAGGGTTTCTAGCCGGAGTCAAGTTGACAAGACCATCCCGGACAGCAGCAGCTCTGGGTAGCCCAGTAACCATATTCTGACAAGGCCACCCTTTTTGGAGGGTCGGATGTTCCCGCTTATACGAACAGTCCTTAATAGGGATCATAATCGGGGGTACTATAATCCCTATTAACGACTGAAGCGGCAACATTCCAAGTTGGTTACTTTACAAGGGAACCTTGAACCCAAAAAGGGGAGAAGGGGACCACTTGGCTACCTAACCAAGTTGACGCAACATCACGGACCTAAACCCTAAACCCTAGAACCTAAACCCGAGCGTCTTCGTGAGGGAGGGTAATGGATGTAGGCCCGCTGGTGCCAAATTGCAGGGACCCCCTCTTCTGCGCCACGGTTTTTCACCTGGGTCCCTCCCGGGGCCCCCCTGGCTGGGACCTCCCCTTTTTGAAGCTCTGCCCCTTTCCATCATTGGGAGCAGAAAAAAGCCGAGGCCCCTGCACCCCCTACCGCTGCTGAGACTCCAGAAAACTCCAGGTGGCCCCTGAACACTCTTTGGAGTTCGAAGACAGTAAAAAGCAAGAAAGCACCCCTTGAAGGGGGTTGGGGGGGTGAACCCTAACCCTAAACCCTAAGTGAGAATAGTTTGGGTGGTTGGGGTGGGACTACATGCTGACGCAAGCGAGCGGCCCGGGTGCTTTTCGCACCAGCGAGCTTCCCTTCTACGCAACTTGAACCCTAAACCCTAAACCCT